CCTCTCAGACTCACATAGAAATTATCTGTGTCCACAATGAAGCACTTTTGTAATAAAATAGTCGACTTTATTTGTTTCTTTGTATGTAGCAAAAGTAGTCATTGACATGCGCATATTTACATCCAGCAAACACATGTTTATTACGACAGTTATAACAAGGTACATCTAGAAAGACCATGGACACACGACTCCAACAATGATGCTCAGGTTCACTAATGTCATCGTTTCTGTCACTTTAAGATTTTTTTATGCTTTTTTTAATTGATGCTTGTACAAAAAGGAGCAGTTTTTAAATGCAGGTATAGAGAAACGTGCAGACGCCGTACCTCACCCCTCCTTCTCTCTCTCAGTCTGTGACTTTTCAACTTCATAAAAAAAAAAACAACAAATTAAAAAGATGACAGAGACCTTTGTTTTTCACTTCCCGCTCTGTTTGACTTCTTCAGTGTGAGATTGTCGATTGCCGTGACTCGGATCTGTCGGCAACACAGATGCTGAGGTTAGCTCGTCCCTTAGCAACAGACGGCCACAAAGGTCAACAACACCTACAAACAGGGAGCGACACTTGCTCCTGAGAAACGGTGTTTGTTGATGACTGATTATCTGTAGCCAGGTGATGTATGTCATCCAATCCCAGCAGTGGAAAATCCCTTTGTTATGTTTGAGAGAGAAATCTCTTCCCTATAACATCTAGAGAAGAAGAGAAAAAGACAGAATAGTCTTCATGATGATGATGATGATGATGATGAGGATGAATATTAAAATGATATTAACTGCTCCTCACTGAGCAGCTGCAGCTGAACCATGGAGGGTATCTTTATAGGAGGGGGATAACGTTGGTGATTGTCGTATGACATGTCGTACAGTTAGTGTGAAGACTTTCCTCCTCTGTTGGTAACATTTACTAAAAACTACAGTGAGAAGCTGTTTTCTTTAAATAAATGAATCTATGTTGTAGGAGCAGACAGGGCGGGGAAGTCATCCAGAGCTGCGCCGGCACATTGTGTGTTTGTTCTCTTGTTGTGTAGTAAAGAACAGTAAGCCTCCACCACTGCAGCCTCCTCTGTAGGTGTCAGCTGTAAAAGATGCCGTATAGAGTCTGACCAGGGTTTGGCACCATAGCAACAAGGTAATTGAAGTTATGCAAAAGGATGAGTCATCAAAGCCATTATAGTGGTGTGAGTGTGGATGAAATGTACTTCATGATCAGGAGGTGAGTGTGTGAGTGCGTAAGTGTGTGTGTGTGTGTGTGTGTGTGGGGGGGGGGGGCTAATGAAATGCTTTCTGCCGATTTCTATACAAATAACACAACATGACACATTCAGATACATTCAGATGAGTGAAGGAGTGACTCGGACATAAGGCCGATCACACATCTTTATCTCTGAGAGGTGACACTACGTGGTCAAAAGGATGTGGACACCCGGTGCTGAAGGGAAACCTTACAATGATATTTTAGATATTAATGAAGCAGATCGTGTTTGGTCATTTCCTGTTTCATCATGACTCCTTTTCCGACTCAGTTTCCCGGTTTGTTGTGGGAGAAACCTGACTGGTCACAACACCTCATGGATGATCTGGATCACCGACACTGACCCAGGATTGGTGTCGGACTGCACTGATGTGTCTGCAGCTGGTTCAACATCTGGATAAAAGGCTCAAACCAGAGGAGACTGTTACAGCAGCATGTTAATGGGAATCTGTTCTATTGGCTCTTTTATCACATGACTGAATGTTTGGTGTCCACATACTTTTGTCAGTGTAGCAGAAATCATTTCTGATAAATGATGTTTATGATTTTTTTTTTCCTGCCTGAGATAATACCACAAATGTTCTTGTGTCTACATAGTAAAACTCCACCACCATCTTCATCATCATCATCATCATCATCATCATCCATCTCTCTCTGTGATTGGTCCGACTGATTTGTTAAAGGTGCAGCAGAATGAAGCATCCTCCTTTGCTGGCATTGTATAATGTCCAAATGGAGAACGTCTTCATGCCGGGGGTTGGGATGAGAAGTCCAGACCACGTCCATCCTCTTGCCCCTCCTTCACAGAGGAGGGGTGTAGTTCTATTTTATCCAGATCACCTCTGGAAGAAAAGGTCCTCTGTAACGTCCTCATCCAGACAACAACCAATCAGAATGTTAGAAAGAAACTAGTAACATATGAAAAAAAACAAAAACCAAACACCAGCAAATCAAAATGAAAAAGAAAAGCCCTCTGGTCATCTCTCCTTATTTCCATCTCCCTCCTCTCTCTCTTTCTCTCTCTCTCTCTCTCTCTCTCTCTCTCTCTATCTCCCTTCATCCCTCCTTCAGTCCTTCATCTGCGGTCTCTTCATCAGTATCTGTTGAATGTATTTCTGCAGCTCGTCACGTCTGCTGCTGTCTGACTGTTTTCCCGCCGCATAATACTCTTCATCTCTCGGGCCTGAGTAATACATCTGCTGCTGCTCGGGAGAGATTACGGGCATACGGGGAGGGGGGCGTGCTTTGGGAACGGGGACCGGCTGAAATGTCCGGGGGTACAGAGGGAGGGGGTAGCTGGTGTAGTAAGGCTTCTGTTGGAGGGGGGGTTTTCTGAGCCGGGGTTGGACCCAGCTGTGGTAACGGTGTTTGGGAGGGAAAGTGTGGGCGTCGTCCACAGAGTTTCCCAGGAAGTTGTTGAGGGTGAGAGCCGGTTTGGGGATGTAGTAACGGGGTCTGGGTCTGGGGGGAGGTGAAAAATAGATGGGGTAGTAGTCTGGGTAGGGCTTCCTCTGGTAGTAGAAGGGGTAGACGTAGGGGTAAGAGGGGTAGCCAGTCCAAACAGACTTGGGTGATTTGAGCCAGAGGTCCTGTTTGATTGACAGAGGCTTCTGAGGTTTGGGCCAGAGGTTTGCACTGGCCAGCAGAGGGCTTGGTCTGCTCCACAGATCCTGTGACTTTGGTGTTTTCTCCAGGAACCAGGGTTTGTGCAGACCGACAGGCGGAGAGGGTTGCTTCGAGACAGGGAAGTTATTCTGATTGGTTGAAACCTGCGGTGCTGTAAAACCATTGGTGGACGAGAAGGAAGAGGACAGAGGAGTCAGAGGTTGCTGCCAACGCGACATGAGCTCGGGCGGAACGTCTTTCTTCTTCTTCTTCTCCACGTCGCTGATGATGTCCACCACGTCGTCGGCGGGGAGGTGGAGCTTGCTGGAGATCTCGATCAGCTTGTCAATGGTCTGAGGATCGATGTCGTCCTCCTCCATCACTTCCTGGTCCTCGTCGGACCTCTTGTCCTCTGCGGCGTTGGACAGGGAAGAGCTGTACTTCCTGTTCCCGTTCTGTTTGACCATGTAGCGCAGCAGCATGTCCGAGGCGATGTCGGCCAACTTCTCCTCCTCCATCTTGGCTCTCTGTGCCTCGGCCGCCTGCCTCCTCATCTCCTCCTGCTCTGCTTTGGCCCGAGCCTCCTCCTCCTCTGGACTCAACACCTCTTCATCCTCCTCCTTCTCCTCCTCGTCCTCTGGTTCATCTTCCTCCATCACCTCCTGCTCTGCTGGAGGCGGGGACTGTACTGCGTTACCATAGTTACTGTCCTCAAAGTCATCCATGAAGTTGCCTCCCCTGAATGTCGGGAAGTTGAGGCCTTTCTGCGTCTCTTCCTGCCATTTCAGCTTCTTCTTGGACATGGCGAGGTTGCTGCCCTTGTTGATGGGTATGATGTCATTGTGGCTGCTGTAGCCTCTGCTCTCTCTCTGGTTCTGCTCCGATTCTCCCTTCCTCTTGGTGGCTGTGTCCAAACGTGGGAACTCCTTCATCATGGTCTCGAGGCTCTTCAGCTCCTCTGGACTGAGCTGCTCCTCCTCCTCGTTGCTGCCTTGCTCACTGCTGGTTGGTTGCTGCTGAGTTGAAACCTTCCCGCTCTCCCCCCGTCCATCTGGACCAGAGGGCCGCTGCTCTGTTTGGACCTGGACTGTCTGGCTCGTGGTACGACTGGTCACCTTCTCTGTCATCTTCTCCTCTTCCTCCTGAGCTCTCTTCCTCTCCTCCTCCTCCTCTCTTTCCTGCTCCTTCCCCTGTGTGGCCATCAGCAGCTCTAACTTCTGTCGTCCATCTCTGTCTCGGTCTGCTCCCTCCATTGTTCTCACTTCTCTCTCAGCCTTGGTCTCCTCCTCCATCCCCTCGTGTTCTCCTCCCTCCTTCCTTCTCTCTACTTGTGAACGATTCAGAGCCTCCAGTAAAACCGCTGCTAGGGTTTTGGGGTCCACATCTTTGAAGAGTTCCTCCTCTGTCTCTTCTTTCTGTAGTGACTGTCTCTCCTCATCCCATCTTTCCTCGTCTCCTGACACCGTGTGTGGACCGCTGACACCTACAGGGGTGTTGACAGGACCGGGGGTGGACAGATGGAGGAGGGAAGCCCCTGTCAAGAGAACCAGGAGGGTAAGGACACTTGAGGCATGGTGGTGCCCAGTCATGGCCACTCAGAGCAGGGACCTGCTGTGAGTAGCAGGGGGGCAGGGTCAGAAGTTTCTGTAGGAGAGAAAACACAGAGACAGTTCAGTGTCAGTACACACACATGCGCGCACACACACACACACACACACACACACACACACACACACACACACACACACATACACACATACACACGCACACACGCACACATGCACATATGCACACACACGCACACACACACACACACACACACACACACACATACACACAAACACAAACTAAAGGGAGCTGAGGCACAAAAACACAACTAAAGATAAAAATTGACATCAGTTATAGGTTTTCGGTGTTGATGATGATGTATCACATGATCACATGATCACATGATCACATGATCACGTGATCACATGATCACGTGATCACATGGAAGCGTGAGCTGTTGTTGTCCATCTGTCCATCACTGTATCTGAACTAGGTTTATCATAATAATTCATTAACTTTTATCAACATGTGCCACAAATTTGCATAAAATATTAAATGTGAGAAAAATTCACAGATTTTAGTTTCACCTGGAACATACGTGTCACATGTGCTTTGTCAAACTCCCACACCTGATGACTGCGTGTCCAGCCAATGAAAATCAGGCACCAGCTCCAGATCAACTGAGAAGCAACTGCAGCTGATCAGGTGTGAGCAGAGCGGGGGGGAGATGCAGTGATCCAGGACCTGGAGCAGCACTGCGACATACCAACGCCATTTTGCTGATAGGGTGATATTAGACCACTGATTTCAGCTTAGCAACAAGGAAGGGGGTGGGAGGGTTGGCTGGTGGGGGGCACCGTCCTTCATCACTGAGTGTTCTTAAGTGCAACAAGTGACGTAGACTGAAATGTCACAGTGGCTGCTCATGTGTTAAACACATTTGTCCAGGGTTGTGTAACAGATGTTTGAACACACACACTCTTCAAGAAAACCTCTAAAACTATTAATGATAACATTTCCTTATGATTAATTCTTTTCTCTTCAGTAAAAAAAAAACATAATTTCCAGGCTCAGTCACAGAGCAGGACCCATGGAGTCAGGCTCAGTCTGCAGTGGAGCTGCAGGATGTGAAGCGTGATCTCAGAGTGGAGTGATTAAGACCCAGGATCTAATGTGACTGAGTTCATTGCATCTGTATTATTCTTGCAGGCGGTGGATTTTGGCACATTAATAATCCACATCTCCAGAGCCAGAATCAGCCAGAACCATCTGTCATCACAAAACCACCTCCAGACCTGCACCAGCCTCAACACTACACCTGATCACACCAACAAACAACACGTCTCTGTCTCTGTGGGATCACAACCACGTCACAGAGGAAACAGCAGAGGAGCCAGTGATGATGATGATGAAGATGATGATGAAGAAGATGATGATGAAGATGATGATGATGATGATGATGATGATGATGATAATGATGAAGATGATGATGGTGAAGATGATGATGATGATGATGATAATGATGAAGATGATGATGGTGAAGATGATGATGATGAAGATGATGATGGTGAAGATGATGATGATGATGATGATGATGGTGAAGATGATGATGATGATGATGATGATGATGATGATGATGAAGATGAAGATGAAGATGAAGATGATGATGATGATGATGATGATGATGATGATGATAATGATGAAGATGATGATGGTGAAGATGATGATGATGATGATGATGATGATGATGAAGATGAAGATGAAGATGATGATGGTGATGAAGATGAAGATGATTATGACGATGATGATGATGATGATGATGATGATGATGATGATGATGATGATGATGAGGAGGACAATATGGCCACCTCTGTGTTGACCATAAACAAAGAAACATGACCAGTCAATCAATCAATCAATCAATCAAGCAATCAATCAATCACACATCCACATCACATCTATGAACTATTGACTGTAAAACATATTGATTGATTGATTGATTGATTGATTGATTGATTGATTGATTGATTGATTGATTGATTGATTGATATGACGTGTCACGGCTGTAAATCTTATTCATCTATCAAACAGACGGAGGAGATGACATCCTCTGACCCGCGCTCACTGAGAACCTGAGAACCTCCTCTGTGGAGGTTTCTCCGGTGTTTAAAGTCGTTTCAGTTTTAATGATCAGACAAACAGATTCCTCTCTTAGAGCAGAGGTGAAGGAGAAGTTGACACTTACTTGCAGATCAGCGGCAGCGGCGGGAATCTCCCAGCTTCTCCTCCTCGTCACGTCAGAGTCAGAAGCCGCTGGAGTCCCGCTGGAAGTCCTGCACGGAGCCCGCTCTCTGCACCGTGAGCGTGCTGTTGTGTGCGTGAGTTGTTGTTGTTGCTGTCTAATGTTAAGTGTCGTCACTTGTTGTTGTTAGTGGCTGAGTTTCCTCTCCCGGGATTCCGCCTGTGGCTCGTCTGTTTTCAGGACCACGGACAGCGGCTGCAGCTCTCTTATACCGCCGCCCTCCCACCCCACGTGATACATGCGTCAAACAGCCCCAATTGACGTCACCAGACTGGGTTTCATTCATAAGATTTCTCTGCACTCACACCCGCCCACCCCTCTCACCCCCTCCCCTCTCTGATGAACCAATTAGCTGCAGTGCTGGAGCTGCTGAATGAACAGAAGCTACTGAATGAATCCGCAGTTTGTCCGTCTCCAGAGGCGGACCAGGACTCTCCGAGGCCCACATCAGGAGGAGGTCCAAGTCTCTGTATTTCAGGAAACCCTATGGGTTTTATCATGGACATTGACAGATGTGCAAAATATTAGTTAAATACAATCAGCTGAATGGCTAATAATGAAATCAATCATAAAAGGACACCTGTCAGATAGATAGATAGATATATAGATAGATAGATAGATAGATAGATAGATAGATAGATAGATAGATAGATAGATAGATAGATAGATAGATAGATAGATAGATAGATAAGAGGGGGCGTGGTCAGGGGAAGCAGGGACAGGAGCCTGAGGAAGTCCTGTGTTCAGGGTCCAGGTCTGGGTTCAGTCAGGTCAGGACTCCATTCAAGAAGATCATGAAATATGATGGAAAGTTCCAGAACAGACACTAAACTGTGGTTGTTATATTATAGACTTATCATATATCATCAGATCTGTAAATTAACATCTTCATCTTCCTCATCATAATTTTGTCTCTTTGTGTCTCATTGTTGATCCTTTTTTCTTTCCTTTTCCTCTGTGACATAAACATGGAGCATCTCAACCACATCACAACACTCACCTGTGGATGCAAGAGGCTCAGGTGAGGTCACATGACTCAGAGATTAAGTCAGGTCCCTCACTGTGAGGAAGACTGACCGAGAGACTGAATGAACAGCAGCTACCTGAGGTCAAAGGTCACAGAGCAGGAGTCAATGGACAACTGGAAAAAGATGTTCACATGACCCCAGAGAGCATCATCATGTGACCGAGGTCAAACACTGGTATGGGTTCCTTCTGTTCACTGCACTTTATATATATATATATATAATAGATTTGTTGACATGTTAATTGAAGAGGTTGAAGGAGAGGAGAGAACAGAGAGCTGCTGCACCTCCTCCTACACCTCCAGTCATCACTCTTTCTCTGGATCTGGGTCAGTTTACTGCTGCATGTTGGTGTGTAGGATCAGTGGACTTCATATTTCAGGAGGGGTTGGAGAGAAAACAGGGGGCAGGTGTTCAAACCATGAAGATAACAGGACAAGAACCTGCCACACTGCATCAAGTCCAGGTCTGAGGACAGGATGTGTGGTGGAGGCCTGTGTCCAGTAATGTAGGGCAGTTACAACATTTTATATCACTTCATACATTTACTCCACCGAACTTCAGAGGGAAATGTTGTACTTACTACTATACTCATTAGACAGCTGGAATAAACATATTAACTTTGATTCACATAATGTTGTAAATATATGTAAAATATTTGAGCTCTAGCTACATTTATGCATCAGTAATAATAATCCAGTTATAATTTAACACTGACAAGACTCATTTTATTCCATTAACGAGTGCTTTCATTTTGATAGTGTCTCTTTACATGTAGGAAAAGGAACTGGGTCCCTGACCAATCAGGACGAGACCACGTTGTTTGGTTTGCTGTGTTAATGTGACACATTAATAAAACTGTTCATGTCTCCTGACTGACATGAGCTGAAGTTATTAAACATGTTCTCAGGTTGTTTCAGGTAAAAAAAAAAAAGAAAAAAAAGAAAAAAAAAATCACTGTTTAGTTTTTTCCCTTCGTCACAAACAGCTGTTTACAAAATGATGTGTATCATATGAGTTGTTGATGACCTATAACCTTTGTGATGTGGTTCATTAAAGAAGGAGCCTCATAAATATGGTTTATGTATGTCTCTGTACTAAACCTGGCTAACTGGTCGTTTGGAGAACTGGTGATGTGGAGCATTTGTTTTCAGTACAGTAGAAACAAAACATCAGGAACAAACATCAGGAACAAACTGTTGAATTTAGCTTAAAATGTTTTATTTCTTTATAAAATTACATTCACACATTGATCCCTTTATCCTGCAGAACAGATTCACTTCCTACACTACAGCCCTGTGCAGCTCCCCACCTTCATCACTCATCTTCCTCAAGGAACCAGAATCTTCTTTTACATAAAGTCATTTAAGAACAAGACAATCACCACATTCACTGAAGTCTGAGCCACCAGAGACTCAGTCTTACAGTGGATGAAGGTTTAAAGAAGGAGGTAAGGAGGATTAGAATCAAACATCTGGACCCACTGAGGAGCTGGGTCCCACCTCATACAGGACTTGGTCTGATTAATGGAGGTGGGCGGGGTATGAATGTTACCTCCATCATTTTTGTGAACAACCTCAGTGCCTTCAGAGACACCATCTGCATCAGGACTCAACAACAGACTCAGTTCAGAGAGATCCGACTCAGTCAGGAGGTTCAGACACATGAAACATGAAACATGGTGGGACTGATGAGACCGGTGTTACTGATGGAACTGATGTTATCGATGGAACTGGTGTAGGCTAACTGCTGTAACTGCTGTAACTGCTGTTACTGATGTTACTGATGTTACTGATGTAACAACTGGTGTAACTGATGATATTGATGGAAATGGTGTAACTGCTGTGACTGATATAACTGGTGTTACTGATAGAACAACTGGTTTAGCTAATTGAACAACTGGTGTAACTGATGGGACTGATGGATTAACTGATGGAAATGATGGATTGACTGATGGAATTGATGGATTCATTGATGGATTAACAGATGGAATTGATGGATTAAATGATGTAATTGATTGATTCATTGATGGATTCATTGATGTAACTGATGGTGTAATTGATGGATCTGATGGAATTGATGAATTAATTAATGTAACTGATGGATTCATTGATGGAATTGATGGATTAAATGATGTAATTGATTGATTCATTGATGGATTAATTGATGTAACTGATGGTGTAATTGACGGATCTGGTGGAATTGATGAATTAATTCATGTAACGATGGATTCATTGATGGAATTGATGGATAAATGTATGTAACTGATGCAAATGATGTTACTGATGGAACTGGTGTAACTGGTGGATTAACCATGCTTAAACAAAATGAGGCCTTTAGTGTGACAGGATCAGGACACATTCAAACTCTGAGATCACAGTCTAAGTTCTGATTTAAACTTTAGACAGATTCATGAATATAATGTTCACTGACTACGACCTCAGAGCCCATTTATCCCTAATGCTGGCCTACACATCATTCCACAATCTGGTCCACACAGTGCACAATCTTTCTTTCACAGCAGATCATAACTCTGCCTCTCTTCTTCTTTGTTTCTCTACACGTGAACACTAACACCACACAGTGAGCCCTCACTCCTACAGCAGCCAGAGTTCAGATGCTGAGCTTCCTCCATCAGAGTTAGTCTGGGACGTGTACTAGTGTCCTGGATGCAGGACCTTCAGCAGTTTTACTGTTACAGTTCAATATTCACTCAGCTCTGAGTCAACATGATCAGCAGGCTACATGGCGTTCAGCAGAGGACATATCTGTTATCTTATTCAGTTAGCTTATGATTCACATCACTGCCATCCAACCATCAATGGCCCCTCCGGCCTGTGGGTGGGGACACTGTCACCTGTCTGTAGCTGACCCCCTGAATCTGACTCTTTCTGAGGAGGAGTGCTGAGGCTCGGAGGCTGTTAGAGACAGGAAACTTGGAGCAGCCACAGACGTGGAGTTAAAAACAAATATATTAGACTCCAGGAACAGCATCACTGCAGGAGTGATAATGATTGGCGGGTGGGGACGACTACAGACGCAGTCAATGAGAACCAAGCTGCTCACAGTGTAAGAGCTTTAACCTTCATCTCAGCATCCTCAACATCTTCAACCTCAAAAACAGACAACTCTTTATGACAGTCCTTACTTTGATATGGTTGCACTGAAGCAACTTATTGAGGAAGACAGTAACTTTCCTTGACCCACATCACAACCATCCACCATTTTTCCCTCAGGAACCATAACAGCCACCTGTGTGTTACATCAAAGATTTTCATGTACTGACAGTACGTGTACCTTCAGTACCTGCGCCATCAGTACATTCAGTACCTACACCTTCAGTACCTTCAGTACCTACACCTTCAGTAGCTGCACCATCACAGTATCAACAGTGACGGTGACAGTGACTGGATTTTGTACTTTAAGCTCTAATCAAAGAAGAAAATAATCTGTTTACATTTGTGTATCTCTGGATTTAGGGAAACTCGTTCCAGATGTGTTAAAGACAGTGAAAACTGGTCCTGTCAAACCCTTTGCTTTTGAAACCCTTGTCTTTCTGAAGAGCTCAGCTGAGTGAACATGAAGAACAAGTTAAAGAGAAACTTCTTCCAGGAGGAGTACCTGATTCTGATCCTGCTCTTTCCTTTACCTTCATCCCTCCAGCAGCAGCTGCTGCATCAGTTCAGACCGACATCATCATCAACTACACAATAAAGATGAATCATTAAAACACTAATAATCTCTACAGGACAGAAGCTATATTTGTCTAATATTCAGATTAATTTAATTAAGTCAATCTGGTCTCAACATGTAGAACCAGCAGCAGCAGAACAAGGTCCAGTTCCAGTTCCTGCTTCCTGGAGGAAACTAACAATGTGATTGGACGTGATTCAACATTTCCATCTCAGCTGGTCCATCAGTCCACTGATGGTACATATGTTAACCAGCTGTTTTAGGCTCAGGTGTCTTTGGTTCATTGATCACTGTCCCACAGCTCATCACCCTGGGTAACGTGTGTTTGTTATAAGCCAATCAAAACACAAGAGTAAATTTAAACAGTCAAACTCCTTTACGCCTTCATGAGAAATTCTTAAAACATCAAATATGTTCAGATAAATGTAATAAAATAACATGATTGTAACAACATCTGGATGAAGCAGTGACAGAACAGCTGGAGACTGGAACACAGGAAGCTGAGCAGGTCTCAGTCCTGTTGGTTATGGGGTCAGGGGGTCTTCATAGCTCAGGTCTGAGGACTCAATGACTCTATGGCTTTATGATGTAATCCACATATCATCTATCACACGATCTAAATCATCAGAGACTGGAGGTGAATGTTGTCACTTCCTGTTTCAGATTTAAATAATGGAGGACTGATAGATTTCTGTTTCTTTAATCTCAACACACCTGTTGTGTTATTTTCCTTGTTATAACAGGAATAAGGCTACGACAAAAGGTTTGTAAAAACAGAATCTTTCTTTAGAGGTCTGATGATATTTTAGATTTTTATGATTGTCAACAAACCTCAGACCAAAACCGCCACAGACCTGATCTGGCTCAGGACTGTGTGTGTGTGTGTCCAAGACCTGATCTGTGTTCCTCCTCTGAGCCTCAGACCTCCACTGTTTATTAAATTATTTATCATAATTTATCACTGTCCTGCTGCCCCACATACTCACTACAGCTTCAAATGTAGATTAATCCGCCGCTGAAAATAGTCCCCAACAAAGTCGCAGTTTCCTGCTGTACGAGTGACAGAGGAACGACAGCGTCCAGCTGTTTGTAGGAAATTAATGAACGGTTTAAAAATGAGACTTTACACTGTGACCTGTTAATTAAATATTTCAGATATTAAAGTAGAACCCAGAGGGACTGGGGATGAGAGCAGACGGGGTTGAGAACGTTCAGAGATTGGTTCTAGTCTTTACATGAGATATGATGAAAATCTAGAGGAACATCAGACTTTTCACTGGAGTGATGTCCAGTTATTATTTTTCTTATCACTCAGACCAGTCCACATCCAAAACCTCACAAACCTCAAGGTGAGACGGTTCAGCTGCCTCACTGTGACTCTAACATCAGTGTCCACTGTGTTCTCACTGTGGTTCTCTTCTGAACTCACTGACAGCAAAGCTGGACTGTAACATCTGAACACACAATCCCCCTGCACACACGAGTTTCAGTGTTCCCCATTTCCTGTAACACACACACACACACACACACACACGCGCACGCACACGCACACACACACACACACACAGAGCTAGTCCATCCATCAGTGAAAGGATCCTGACCGAGTCTCCTCCCAGGTAAACCCTGTAGATCAGTCCCCACACGTCCTCAGTCCCAGACTGTTCAGATCCAGATTCTGTCCCGTCCCCTCTCATCCAGCCCTCCACCTCAGTATCTACAGTCTCTCTCAGCACTGACGTGTACTATGCCAAGCCCATCTCCTCCAGCACACTCCTGGGGGACTCGTCCTCCTGCAAAGGAAACACACAGACATGAAGGTGGACTCAGGTGTACTTCAAAACTCCTACACCTGAAGGTACATCTACAGGTACACCTATACCTAAAGGTACTCCTACGCTTACAGGTACAGGTACAGTTCGTACAATAAGCTGAAGCCGTACGGCATTGGTATCCATGGTTGTACTGATGGTTTTAGTTGCTATGTAGTGTGAACGGAGTCCTGCAGAACAAACAACGACACCAAAATAATAGCAGACTACTTCATCACATCAGTTGTGCGCTTGTGAGGATGCCCGGAGCGACTGCGCGCTGACAGAGGCATGGAAAAAGACTGGGGGAGTTGACTTTATTCTCGACATTTCGACTTTATTCTTGAAATTCAAAATAAATTTTAAAAAAATCTTCCTCTTCTGAGTCAGTTCGACTTTATTCTCGACATTTCTACTTTTTTCTCGAAGTGCATGATGAAAAAAAAAAAAAGTCCATCCATGGCCCTAATACTCCTTCGTAATAATGTCTTCTTCTTTTTTGGATAAAAACAAATGAAAGTGTTAAATTATTTCACGTTATTGACACTGAAAAGATTAGTATTCAGTTTTGTTGGAGAACAGTTAATGAGAAGAAGCCCGTTCTTGTCTCCGCCATGTTATCAGACCTGATGCAGGTCACATGACCTGTGGATCTGTGGGTCAGACTAATGTGACTGTCAGTGACAGGAAGTGAGAAGCTCCAGCATGAGCATCAGCTGTCAATCAGATTACCTCCTGCAGAAGGTCAGCCTGTTCGATGGCTTTGAGGACACTCTTCTTAGACGTGTCCTGGATCTCTCCTCCCATCAGGAACTCATCCAGAATGAAGTACGCCTTCTCAAAGTTAAAGATGATGTCCAGCTCACACACCTGCACAGACACACACCAGTCATCAGCGCTCTGTACATCAGAGTCGTCACAGTTAACTTCTGTCACCTTTAATTAGCAGATGAATATCGGAAACATTTGACTCAACTCACGCTGCCAAAGTATTTATCCAGCAGCTCCACGAAGCGGTGGATCACCTCCAGAGTGATGAGCTCGTTGTCCTGCTCCTCTATCGCACAGCAGAAATACAGGCTGGCATACCTGCAGGAACACACACACACACACACACACAAACAACACATCAATATAATAACACATCACATGATTGATGAATTTGCAGGGCTGAAAACAAGACTGAAACACACACTCTCTTAAATCTCCCTCTGATGAAAATCAAGTGTTTCACGTTGTAAACATCCATATGAAATGTTTTACATAATACAGACATATGATGAGAGAAATAATCATCATCACCATGACTGAGTGTTTCCACCTTGAACTGTAGTGAACCAATGACAGTCTCACAAAAACAGATTCAGACAGGGGGACGGGGGGGCGGGACTAAATAAACCTGAAACCTTGTCAGTACAGAGAAAGAGTTAGCATTAGCACAACCACTAACACTGTGTCAGTTACTGCCAGCTACAACCTAACAAACAACATAAACAAATAAAAGATGCTAACTACGCTAACCGTTCTGATCTGTCTGCTAGTCTCTGGTTCTGGTCTCAACAGACTCCTCATCTGAGTCTGGGTCTGACTGAGGCTCACACATGTGGCTGAGTCTCTCTGATGTTTCCTCCTCTAACCATCTTGATACTTTCTGCTCTTTCACCTGTCCACCTGGAGACAGCAGGTGGTGGGCGGGGCATATGTCCTGATTTCTCAATCAGGAAGTAAGAGTAGATGAGCTTCAGACCCAGTTTCCTTTTTTTTGCCACTTTTTATGTGTGAAACAAAATATGAATCATAGCAGAGGATTTTACAGAGTTTAAAACATGTCTGGAGAGGAACTTTTATAAATTAAAATAACTTAAAACATGAAGTTACAACCACTGAGTCGACACGCACACACAAAGTGAAGCTGTAGTTCCTTCATGGTCCACTAGGTGCTGGTTCAGAGGAAACTGATGATGGATGGAAGCTGCCCAGTGATGAGTACAAATACTGTCTGACTGTTTAGACCTTTACAGCTGAAAGTTACTACATTACCCAGACTGCATCATGAACAGTCTGAGCCCGTCTCTGTTGACACTGCCTACAGAGGAGCTTGTTTACATTAACACCACCCTGAGTGACCTCCAGCTTCATTCTGTCAACTGTCACTATCACACACAAGAGCTGAGGGCACGAAGTCACATGTACTGACGCACAGCTCATTCATTGGACAGCTTAAGTGATGTCATACTTTTACGAATCAGTTAATGAATCATTTAGAGCAGATGAATTTAACAACTCTGTCTGGGACCACACCCTCTCCAGATGGAGCACCAGTCTTTACTCCATTAACACCGAGCTCAGACCTGGGTTGTATGATCTCAGATCAGTGTGTGCTTGTGTGTTTGTGAAAATATGATGTCTGCATAAATCATTAAACTCTAAACTACGCATTTGTTTCATCGTCATTAATCTATTGTTGAATTAAACATCAGAATTTAGGGACACATCATCCTGAGCCCAGAGTAACCTGATCATGTTTTATCCAACCAACAGGGAAAAACCAAGAACTGCTGCCAACTGACACATCAGGGAGCTGGAACTGTAGATCGATTAATGGATAAGCAATCAATTAATAGATAATCAATGAATATGTGAACTGAGGTTTACACTTCATGATCATTTTAAAAGGCTTGTAAAAACAGCAGAGCTTCTATTACAGTAGAGTTCGTCTCTACTGCAGGAAATCCCTCAACACATCACCCACACACAGTTTTCTTAGTCCACCTCTGCATTCTGCTCACAGTACTGAGCCTGTGTGTGTGTGTGTGTGTGTGTGTGTGTGTGTGTGTGTGTGTGTGTGTGTGTGTGTGTGTGTTTAAATCACTGAGAAAGGAGAGCAGGTCTCACCCTGTCCACCCACCTAAATTCTGATGCAGCTCAGCCCACATACAAACAGAAGAGACCTCCTCCTGGTCTGTGGGAGCTGAACTGAGTCCAGGGTGGACTCGCTAAAACCAGATCTGGCGCTTCACTAAAGTCAGATTTAAGGTGTCTCATGATCAGACTAAAAACACGGGTATATTTGACCTGGTTAGTCATTTCATTGAAACGTTGAAACTGAGCTTCAGTAACAAGGCCACATTGTTGTTGTTGTTGTTGTTCTGGGGGTTCTTCGTTGTTTTCAGTAGATAAACACGGAGGTGGACACTATACTGCTTTCATCACTGGTGTCATGTTCTGGCACAACATGGACTTCACACCTTCATTACCACGATAAACACACACAGTTTGGTTTTAACACACATAGGGGAGATCTACGTCCCAGAGCAACTGATGAACACACACGGGTCACGTACAGGAAACTCACTTGACTGAACGTGATGCATGCTGGTTAGAAACTTTCACCAGCGTTGGAGAACGTCACCAGACGACAGAGCTTTGTTCCAAATGGCTGGCGGCTTCAGATCTATTCTCTCTGTGGTTCTCTTTCTGACTCTCAGTTTTCTCATTAATCATCATTTCATTACCAGACATAAAGATAGAAAGAGTTTAGTTCCGAGTTTGTGATGGTAACAGAAGTAAAATCTTATAGTTTATCTATAAATAAAATGAAATACTGATCATGTCTGTACTGCAGCAGACGGTGTGTTATACAAATCACAGTCACTCAAATTTAGCGAATTTATAGAAAATAGCAGCACTGATGTACAAAGCACACAATAGAATGTTACCAGACTGTATCCAGAGGTTGTTTCAACCTGAGAGGGAACTGTATGTTCACAAAAACAAAGACCAGAACAAATGTAAAACAAAGATGTGTTGCAGTGTGTGAAGTGAATTAGTGGAATGGTTTAGAAATGGAAATGAATGAGTGTAATACACATGATAGATTAAAAAAAATGATTTAAACACAAGATGATTAACAAATATAAAACTGCAGTACAGAGTGTACATGAATGTGTTTGGGATTTTGGGTAGACAATAGGCCTATATAATGCATATATACTTAGTTTTTGCTACTTTCTTGTATTGGTATGTATAAATTTAAAGGCAGCTGACAAAATAATTAATGATAAGAAGGTTGGTGTAATAAGCTAAGGCTTCAGCCTACACCTTTTCAGTCCTATCTTGTTTCTTGTTTATCTTTTGTTTTGGCAGATATTTTGGCAGACATTGCGATGCGATTTCAGTTGGAATGGTCTTTTTTTTCCATTTCATTTTCACTGAATTTTTTTTAAAATGATGATGATGTGATTTTTGTTGGTCTTGTACCAAACAAGCTTGTTCCTTTAAGTCTGGAGAATATGATGTGTAGGCCGAGGCGTCTCCGTAGCATCACAACACTAACAATGCACAACAATGTTGTGACACATTTTACCTTTATGCAGCTCCTGCAATTTGGATATTGCACTTAGTCATATTGCAATTTTGATTATATTTCAATTAATTGTGCAGCTCTAATATATATCTCCAATACAATATACTCACTGTAAAAAACAAAATAAATATTAGTTCATATGGCCCACCCCCAGGTTAGCATCATAAGTAACTACATGTGTTACATGTCTACTTACTTACCAAAGGGAAACTGATCAGGAAGTGTCAGTCAGAGTGACTGTGGTGTTTCCATGTGACTGAGTCATGATCTGGTGATACAGCATCAAGCACAACTATTGGTCCTGTATCTACCACAGAGGCCTGACCTATCAGTGATCTGAACATGTCACCTGTATGTATAATAGACTTCTTCTCTATTTTAGAAACAAAATGAAGAATGAAGAAAACAAACGATCAATAATGACAATAATTAGCTGCAGAACTTGTCATGAATAGACAAGTTATTAGCCAATAAATGAACAATATCCAGTATCATCCTCTCTTCCTGCTGCTGTAGCAAAGACTGTTGGTGAGCAACACTTGTGATTCATCATGATGTTTGGTTCACCACTGGTGGTTGAGGTTCCATAACAGGGTCTCGTGACAGAACAGGGTCGTGTGACTGTAGCGTGACGAATCAGGAAAGGATACGTGGTGACTGACCCAATCAAATGCTGATGTCTGTGTCTCCACCAGAGTCAAGATGAATTCATGCATCACATGCAGAGTCTTGTCCTCTGGGTTTAAACTGACTCTCAGTCCTGATGTTACATAAATACTGTGACCATCAGCAATGTCACAACTAGACGTTCACATCTATTTATAGGTGAACCAACACACTCAGTGTTTAAACTATAGACATTATACCGCTGCTGCAACTCTGCAGAGGGCTTTTATTTTGAAACAACGGATACAGGAAGTGCAGACATGTGGCGACACAGGGGTGAGTGAGAGGAAGAAGAGCGAGAACGCCAGAGCTAACCAGCTATCTTTAAGTTCAATACATCTTTGTAAATCTTTACCCTCATCACACAGCTTCAGCTACACCTTCATTTTCAACCAATCACAGTGACGTGTGACACCTGTCACCAGGTGAGAACAGGTGAGGCAGACAGCTGTGGTAGTGCTACTTTTTTTCACAATTGAATGTCTTTTTATTTATTATAGAATTAAATTTAGAATATTCATTGACAGTTGTTTCGTTTTTGATAATGAGGTCACACCTCCCTCACATTAAAAACATTAACTGATGTCATATATTGATGTAATATAATATCAACATCAGCATGTTTTCTGGTTAATGTGCTCTCTGCTGTCTCTTCACACTCAGCTAATAAGAAGTTCCAGCTGCAGCAGCACTGAAGACACATCCGTGACAGTGTGTGATTTTTTACCTTTTATAGACAATCTTCAGGTCCCTCCATTCGAGGAAGCTGCACATCTTTGGTTTGCGGGCGAGCACGATCTGCATCAGCTCCCTCACCATCTTCTTCTTGTCGCGCTCGGCTGTAGCTGTGTACCACTTCTGCAGCCGCAGCTTCCCCTGACGGCTGAACAGCAGCATGAAACGCATCTGCACACAGACACACAGTGTTCATGACAAGGGTTAAAACTCCTCACTGATGTATCAGACAGTAAATGAGAACTGGAGTATTGGTCTAAAAAAGGAATTTCAAACTGTGACTATAACTGATGTAAAGATGCTTTCCATTGGTCATCACATGTCAGTTGTGTTGCTTCTTTACCGTTTCCTTCTTCTACAGTTCACGTAGACAAACTAACAAGCAACAGACAGCTAGCAGACTGCCGCCTTGTAGGTTGTAGCAGTTCATCAGAGTGTCTGTACACAACTGAGGTTAAAGTAATCAACCAACCATTAACTGTGTGGCTGAGTCTGAGACGCCCTCATCAACCCCTCACATGATACCTGCATAAACCCAACCTATACTTCCTGTCCAGCAGACAAACATGTGGAGACCAGCTGGTTAATATGGTCAAAGATCCTCTATACAGAAGATACCGCAGTACAGGCAGCACCAATGGTATGAAATGGGACACTGCTCCAGGCTCTTAAGTGGGCGTTGTCCCCCAACCCCTCCCTCAAGCGAAGGCAGCTAGCATGAAATGTGACTGTAGCTATTATTAAAATCTATCCCTGTCAAGACTTACCTCTCTGCATCCTTTGGGAAAGAAAAGACAGATCCGTTTTTCTTGTTATTACGGCCTATTGCTGCACAAAGCTCGGGCATTTTTAACATTAACTGACAAATTTGCACCCCTTTTCCCGCTGTTTTTATCTAGTAACGACATCTGATCAACCCAGTACAAAGTCATAACAGTTTAATAGGCTAATACTCTCTGTTTTCCCTCCAACTACTCTCCATTTCTCCTCCAAAATACTCAAATAATGACGACATACAATGAAAGCAAATGTTAAGCAATGAAACAAGTTTTATTTTAGTTTTAAAGTTTGATCTATGGCTTCACGTATAAGTAAGTCAATCCAAAAATAACTCCGGTCCATCTAAACATCGGGTTATCGGATGTCGGCAGTTGCCAGATCTCACGAGAGTGTGGCACTAAGACAGAGACAGGTCTTACCTACAACCTGCTGTCTCTTTGTATGACAGACACACAGCAGGTCATGGTTTTGTTTACACTGATGGAGGAAATTTAAATATTTAAATATTTTCTCTGGAGACGTTTTACAACAGTAAAAGAAAAACTGTTAACTGTTATAACAAAGATACTGTTCAACAGTCTGTCCTACTGTTCTGAATCTGGACCAGGAAAAAAACAGAGATTCATTACATGGTCAAAAGTATGTGGACACCTGGATGTTCCACCTCTGTGTCTATATTTGACGACATTGCTTTAACATGCTGCTGTAACAGCCTTCTCTTCTCTAGTTTAATCCAGATGTTGAACCAGCTGCAAGGATTTGATGCCATTGAGATACAAGAGCAGTACAAGTGGTACTGATTCTACTGGCTTTTAGTACCAGGTACTTCTATTACCAAAGCAGACACAATGTTGTTACTATAGCAATGACGCATGAAGCTATCAGGACATCATCTTCACCGCGACACATGAACAACAGATGATCAAAGAAACCAAACAGAAACATCTGCTCCTCCTCAGTCAACTTCAGTCGGCTGGGGGGCACTGAATTAAAAGTATAAAACAATAACTAATATCTTTAGATGTCAAATGACCAAATCCAGGTGTTCCGAACCTGTAGAGACTCAAAAAGGCTGAAGCTGGAAGTGCTGCTGAAGGGGGTCCCACAAAGAACTGGTTTAAGGGTCTGAATAGTTTTTTATTTAATAAATAGGCTAAACATAAAACATGTTTTCACTTTGTCATTATGGATTTTAGAATTTAAATTAAAAGGCAATATTATCAATATAAAATGAAATCTTTTTATTCATTGTCCATTATAATCTGATGATAAATAAATTAATGTATGTTCCAGCTGTGGGTTGGAGGCGGTTAGAAGCAGTCACCTGAGAACAGTCACCTGCTGCCCTCACTGTTTAGTCTGGGGCTGAACTCATCACGTGCCTCCCGGAAGCACTGACATTGTTCAGATGTTCAATGATGACAGATGTTCAGTGTAACATCACTTTCAGGTCACAGTCTGTGTAACACAACCCAAACACTGACTGAAATCCCTCCGCCGTGTCAGAAGAACGGGACTATTTCACGCAGTGTGCTGTTATCCGGCCTGTTAGCTAACAGGCTATGCTGACGGGAGCCAGGTGGAGGTAGCGCAGGTGGACACTTCCTGAAATCATACACCTTGCTAGCATTAGCTTAGCACCTAGCTCCTGCCTTTCTGAACCGAATGAGTCGCGGTAACTCACCATGTTATAGGATTGTTGTTGAGCTGTTGCGACGTTAGAGACGAACTGAAGCCCTGAACCGGTCCAACGCAGACGGACACACCGCGGCTAACAGAGACGCTCCATGTCTGTCAGACACTGAACCACTGGACTGGACTCACTCCCTGCTGCACCGAGCACTTCCGCCTCTGAAGAGCATGCGCACTCCGCACAGCTGGATGCCCTCAGTTCCGTCTCTCAGGTAAAACCTCCCCTAACCGTCAGAGGAGCTTTTTGTTCGGTGACAGACCCGGTACACATTTTATTATGGTTATCTAAAACATTAATGTTATTGTTATCTATAACATTAATGTAGCCTAAATGATTTTTAAAATGTAGTGAGCAGCAGAATACGGTTATTTAATCTTCTCAATTAACCAATTCAAAAATACAAAAAAAAGTTTTAAATAAAACATTTTATCTGTAACCCAAGAATGTAAAAAGCCAATGTAAAATAAATAAATTAAACTAAATATATGTCAAAAGCTTATTTACAAATATTTCCCTTCTATAAGAAAATACAAGATCTAATTGGAAAAAATGGTTGTAATTTATGATAATATTGTTAAATATATTAACCCAATAATATTATTTAAATCATATTTAAGGAATACAATCCGAGTTCTTAGTAATTACAGTTACTATCCTTATAGTAATATACAGTACAGTATATATAGTAATATCTATAGAATCTATTATAATTCATGTCCTTTTATGTATCAACACCAAACAGAGTTAAATATCTGATCTCAGTCTAAATTTATTTGAGCCTGGTTTGAGTAAACACAGTTTTTTAAACTGTATTTAAAATACAATGTTAATGAAGTTGACAGTGTCATCATGATCATTTTAACTCCTCTGGTTAATCCTCGTAAATCCTGGTTAAGCAGGTTAATCCTGCTCCTCACCATGGAACATCAACCACAGAGGGACTCAGTTCTCTGTCGGCCTGGTTCTGTCCAGACCTCCTGTGGATGCTCATCTTTATGATCTGCTGTATCTCATCGGACTGAACAGTTAGCTTCCTACAATAACCTAACACTGAGAGCCTGTGAGAGTCTATATTATTATCGGCTATATTATCTAATAAAGCAGTAAAAATTAGCCGATCAATCGGTGGAAAGAAAATTAATCAGCAACTGTTTTGATAATTGTTTCAGTTAAAGGAAAATACCAAACAATCTTCTCAGATACAACAACTTCTTGGTGGTTTTAATCATATACGAGAGTGTGTGAAATATCTTTTTAGTTTTGGACTCTTAATTCAATAAAACAAACCATTTAAAAAGATGTCACTTTTGAGCTCTTTTTCATTACTTCTTGATGTTTCACAGTCTAGACAGTAAGTTGATTAATCAATAAAATAAGCAGCAGATTCCTGGATAATGAAAACAATCTGCAGCCCTGTCTCTGTTTCTTTCTCTTGCCACATTTACGTCATGTTGTTTTAAATGAGGAAGTCATGACTCTTGGTCAGGGACCACAGACACTGCAGGTTTGTAAAAACATATAATTTTAATAAATATAAATACTGCAAAAATACAAATGTAACTGAACAACAACAACAAGGTAAAAATAGACATTAACACTGTAAAAATAGATAAAATACATCTTTTTTGGTCCGAATGTAGCGTCAGTCTGTCTATGTGAAGTGCATCAGTGTCACACACCAGAAACTAGTTTGTTCATTTTCCTTCATATCTGTGTCTGCAAACATTCAGAGAAATAAATAAACACAAACATATAAACTCAATTTCTCTTCCCACTGTGTCCAGTCAAACCTCTGTCGAGTGTCTCAGCTCTTTAAAATGAACCTGTCTGTGTGTAGTCCGTGGACGCATAAACAGTCATGTGACTCGTGGTGTGGTCATTGTGTGTGTTCGTCATCGTGTGTGTTCATCGTGTGTGTGTGTTCATCATGTATGTGTAAATCGTGTGTGTGTGGTCATCATGTGTGAGCAGCAGTAGTCAGACACAATTGGTGAAGGGTCTTCAGGGGGTTATTGTAGCTCAGGCTGGTTGAACTGACCCATGAACAGAACAGCACCTGAAAACAGGAAGAAGAGCCGTGTTCACACTCCGCACACTCTACACACTCTGACTGACAGCTCAGTTGACTTATAACAGTGCGGCAGATAACTGCATGTTTCAGGGAAATCTTTGAAATTTGGACACAAATGCTAATCTTGGCACAAATCCTCCTCCTCCTCTTTTCATAAAACACGTTAGCCACTCGGAAATTCAAGATGGCCGCCATTTCTGGCAAGGAAATGTTATTTTTTTTGCAATAAATTCATCCACTATTTTCTCATATGAATAATCCAGGTGTCAAATTCTTAATTTTAACACCGTAGAAGGTGAAATTGAGTAAACTGTAGAAAATCAACTGAAAATATATTTCAGCAAAAATATTATCCCAGAAAGAGAAACATACTAATTTTGGTACTTGTATCCACATTTGAAAGAATATTGCAGTTATCTGCTGGACTATAAATTCAGATTTCACTTTATAACTTATGAAGAGTGTTACCTGTGTGTTTGTGCTGGATGAGGAAGAGGAAGGGTCGATCCAGAGTGATCTCCTCCACCGCCATACGAGAAAACATGATGGCAGCTACGAGAGGGAAGAAAGAAATCAGGTCAGAGTCTGTGATGTGTGCAGGGGCCCATTCTGCCTGGAGCCCCAGATCCAGCCCTGTGTTCACTGTGCCTCACATATGTTTGCTGTCATTTCATTAAAGACTAAGATGAAGACGAAGATTATGACCTTAGGATGTGTGTGTGTGTGTGTGTGTGTGTGTGTGTGTGTGTGTGTGTACCTGTTGCCGCTGCTCCCTCGGTTCCTCTTTCATTCACCTCGATCTTGACTCTCTGGAGGACCTTCGACACACACAGCCTCTCATCAGCTGGAAACACAAACACACACAGAGGTCATGTGACTGCTCTCGTGGTCATGTGGTACGTGTCACATCTTTAAACTGTGAGATGAAGGACTAACTAACTAAATAACTAACTTACTGGTGATGCGTGTGAAGTCAGCATTAGCCAGGTTGAACATGTCTTTCAGACCCATCTTCATCAGAGCCGTCTTCAGGTTCACCTCAGAGTCCAGAGTAAACCTGCAAACACAGCAGTCCTCAGTGTTCACCCTGTTTGCTTTATGAGTCAATGTGACACAAACAAACATAACGACTCCCCGTCTATGAGACCGTGAAATAACGTCTGACCCTGCTCTCTCTCACCTGGGCATGGCCAGCTGCCTCTTTGCGCTCCTCAGTTCTGCTCTCCACTGCTGAATCTTCTGGCTGCTCAGATCCGCACTGAGCACGTTCAGCGGGACCTCAGGCTCAAAGGGTGACACCAGGAACATGCTGAGGGAGTCACCCTCATACGGGACCTCAATGACATCATAGTCCACCCCGTCAGTGGTGACAAACTCACCTGTTGATGAAGGAGGAGACAGATGTTACTTTGTGAACCTGACATCAAACTGAGGTGAAGCTGTGTGTGTGGGGGGGGGGGGGTCAACCTACCGTAGTTGAACTGGTTTGTGAGTCTCATCATGTGCACAGGTACAGCGCTGCCGTTGGCACAGTGGAACATCCTCTCCTGTGTCAGTTTGGGGTCAAAGGGGACTTTCCACAGGGCCTGGAAGTGGAGAGCGTTCAGGAGGACCAGGCGGGTCTCATCAGTCAGAGATCCAGATGCCAAGAACTCAGGGATGGCTCCTACAGAGGAGAGGTAAACATGAGTCAGAGGAGAGCTTTGGAGACGTCTGATGTGACGTGGACGACTGGAAGTGAGAGATTACCTGCAGTGTGGTCTGAGACCCACGAGTTGATGATGTTGACTGCCTGGTCTGGCTTAGTGAAGTCCACCTGGTGAGGGTGGGTCTGGAAGGCCTTGGCCAGGGCCCGGCGGTACCCCTTCTCCAGACTCATCTTCCTCTCCACCATCACCCCGCTGGCTGTCTCCACCCCTTCCTCGCTGGACAGATCCCGCTGCAGGAGACGCTGCTGCCGTGACAGCCCTCGCTCTGGGGGAGGGGCGCGGGGGAGGAGTTTGAGTTATACACCAGTGAATGACACGTTCAAATAACCATCACACATCCATCACACACCCGACTTAGTATTTATCGATGGATCAATTGTTCATTTATAGATTCTTTTTACAATTCCTATTTTTAATGCCTATTAAAACATGAAATTAAGGAAATGCTTTATGACATTTCCTGTGACATCCTTGGTCTGCCTTAGCAGTTCCATAGTGTTGGAATGACTTTAATTCCACCTCTCAGTGAGATTGGTGGACCAGCAGAGGGCAGTGTTACACCGTCACAGCTGGGGGATCAGCATGTTTCTTGGTTTAGATAAACACATGTTTGTTTGATTCCTCATGCAGTGAAAACCAGCGAGTAATCATATTATTTTCCTGTATATTACATCATCTCCTTTTAATCCACATGTCACTCACCTCGCAGAGAGAAGCCCAGAGCAGCAGTCAAGGCCTTGTTGGTGTTTCCCGCCGCACCGAGCTGAGCCATGGACAGGACCGAGGCCACGCCGTACGGGGAGAAGACCACGTTCTTGTCCACGGAGTCCTGGCTGAGCTGGAGGAAAACCTTCAGGCCAAAGTCAGTCTGCTTGTCCTGCAGGGAGCCCAGCCCCGCTCTGCTCAGGGTCAGCAGCAGGAAAATGCACGCAAAGCAAAGCATCCTGGGAAAGACAGGAGAGAACAGGTAAGTGAAAAACACTCTAATTTCACACGTTTATCTCAGTGCGCAGTCGCCAGAGCGGTGACACACTCAGACTCTTCTTTGCACAGAGATGTAAAAAGCATCAGTCATGTGTAAACAGTGAATCTTTGAATCTTCCCTCAGAGCAAACGCTCAGCAGACGTCATGAGGACAAAGTTCTGCCCAGTGTTTGAAACAGGAGTGAAGCTGTGGCCAAACAGAAGGTCTGTGAGGCCACTCTGTTTCACATTAAAGAGGGAACACATTCAGCAACGGAGAAACAGCTCTCAGATGGTTTCTGTAAAACTCCAGGAGTTCAGACACAAGACAAAGATATTTTTAGCTTCCTTGAAAACTGAAGCTTTTCACATGGGAAAAGATTTCCCATCAGTGACGGTGATCATTAGAAACAGACGGAAAAAAACCGACTGAATAAAAAACAGACTGAAAGATTTGGATCCATTGATTTAGTCCAACGGTTCAGCAGTGTGACTCATGCTGCATGGTTGTGCGTGTGTTCAGTGTGTTTACAGGAAAGTGTGTGTCAGTAGCCGTGGTTTTCCACTGCAGACGTGAACAGAGGTTCAGCAGCTTCACGCAGAGACCACCTGAGACCTCAGACTCTATCTGTGTATCCACTCACTGAGCTTTCAACAGAGACACATTCACTGTCCGCTGCACAAAAGCTTGATTCCAAGGTTTGCACTGAGAGAGGTCACCTGATGGTTTTGACACTAAGGATCAAGATTCTGATTTTGTTTGCACCTCTGAGTCTTAAACCCTCCCCCAGCTCACAGCTGATGTTTTCACAGTTCACAGCTGAACTGAATGAGATTAAATTATTATTATAGATTATTATGACATGAATAAATCCTGGAGGTAACAGGAAAAACAGTGTGTTCAAGTAGTAACATGTTTTTACCATCACATCAGGTTGTTTAACAGCTGCGTGTCATCATCAGTCTGCAGTTATAAAACTCCTCTCAGGATAGTAGAAGTAACACCTACTGCCTCTGCACAGACACACTGTTTTAGCTCTTCTCACATTTCAGTCAAAGGTTTCTGCCTGATGCGTTAATGAGTAGCAGCACTTCAATGCTGCATCTAGTTATGATGGAGGTACTTTAGGATTCTTGATGTTCTGGTGTCGGGGAGTTTATTCTATAACAAACGGTTATAGAGTTAAAGTTAGTTGTACTGTTTTATCTCAAACTCACTTTAATTTCACTGTCAATGTTTTAATCATTAAATCCAGTGTAAAATAAATGATGGGTATAATAATGACTCCACCAGCTCTGCTAATGCTTCATAAATGTCATATTTAGACGTCCACAGTGTTACTCATGTTTTTGTTATATTCTGTCCGAAACTAAAACATTATGCCAGCTTGTTTTAAGTATCAGATGTTCCAGATGTTTAGTCCAGGTGTGACTCTTACCTTGTGGTTGGAGAGTGTCAGGTGTGGTGCTGCAGGTCTCTGTTGTTTCAGCTTCAGTCTCCTGTGCTGCTTCAAGTCTGACAGACTGACCGAGCTGAGGTCTTTTTATAGTGTAGAGCTACATGGTAGGAAGCCCCGCCCCCACCTCCGCACACTCATTATTAGAGACGATGATGTCATCTGATACTGTCTGGACAGGCTTCCTTTTCATGAACACACACTTTCTCCCTCCTCCTCCCTCTCTCTCTCTCTGTCTGTCAGTCTGTGCCTCTCGCTCACAGCATGACAGAACATATGGAAAGTCACTCAGTGTTTTCACACACACCCATGTACAAACACACACACACACACACACACACACACATACATACACACACACACATCACTGTGGTATGTGCAGGCCAGGGTCCTCAGTCATGTTTGTCTGATATGATAAATGCTGCAGATTGTAATCAGCTGGCTGACGGCCCGACACTGCACCATCACCATGAGGAAAAAACATTCAGGAGCTGCAAAGGAAATGTTTTTATGTTTCATTTCCTCATGAATTTAAAGTATTTTTTAATCTTGGATAAAATCAAACTGAAACCAGACTCATTAGTTCAAAACAGGTTTTTCTGAGGTTCATTTCTTTGGTCCAAAGACAGATTTTTTTGACCAACTCATGAAAAGTTACTGTGAAACAAATGAAACAATAAACTGTAGCGACAGTGAGAGTAGATGATGCTCCCTGCAGTCTGCTGCACTGGTTCACAGAGGACGACACACCTGTCTCAGAGTCCTGGAGTCACCATTGACCAATCAAACAGGGGCATTGTGTCATGTTTTGAGAAACACAGGAAGTTTGCACAACAATAACTAAGAGGTTTAAAGTTCACCTCTTAACTTTGTTGACAAAAAAAAACCTGTCCTCGAGTCCATTTAGCAGCTGTCGTGGAGTTTTCAGTCATATCACGGGATTTTCACCCCCAGGAGGAGTTTTTAACTTTATTAAGTTGAAAGGGATGAGTCCAAACAGTTCTCAGACCAAAGGAAGTTTAAACTTCTACAAAGTGAACTCAGCAAACTGCCGATGAAGACCATGGAGATATGACTGAAAGGGACTGAAATTGAGCTTAAGATAAGATTTTATCGAATGTCACTTGTAGCTTCAATTGGTTTAGTTCTTGTTGATGTTGTTCCATCATAAAGAAACCGGTGGGTTCTGTGTACTAGAACCGAACGTACCCGGTGTTGTACTTAGTCACTGATGCACTTTTCATTGACTGATTGATATTAAGACACATGATCTAAAAGATTCAGTCTGATGGAATATTATTCCAGATGAGACTGATCGTTATATTATTAATGAAAGGACTTCAGGCTTCTCCAACAGCTACCGTCCCAGTATCATTTCCTGTGGACATTCAGAGTCTCCATAGGATGAGTCTTCCTCCTTGATTTTATATCCAACCCCCGAGTCAGGACAAAAAGCAACCATTCCAACATGTAAAAGTTCTGGTGGATATCCACACCCTCTGCCATCAGACCAGAAAGTCCACTTTTACACTAATGGGCAGGTTGCCTGGGAATTCACTGAGCTCTGCTCTCATGCCTCCAGGGAGATAAGCTTGTTTCAATGTACTAATATTTTTCATTTTACCATTTTGACTTCAATAATAGATCCTCATTTTAGGTGGTGACACATCACCAAATTTGGTCGTGGCCGCCAACATTCTTCATCTCACTACTCACCAAACATCTGGTACACAGGACAGGGAGCAAACACACTTTTTCCAGATCTATCTGGGGTCAGAGACAGAGGCCCTCACTGGAGCCGCTCTGTCTGTTAGAATATAGAAAGAAAAACCTGCGTCCTGGGGCCAGTTTCACATAGATAGACTCTAACTGTGGCTTAGATCTGACTAATGGCAGATTTCAGATACACTGGATTAGTTGATGAATTCTGGGTAAATCAAGATTTTATTCAATGTAAGAAAACATGAGAGGAGAACTGCGTCAAGCCACTCAGCTTCAGAAAAGATGAACAAACACCATACCAGATGCAAAGAAGGGAATATTCAAAAGAGAACCCAAAACAGGCCGACCACAGGAAAAGCTTTTAGACGCAGGGAAAACTGTGATGAAGATAGCGTTAACATTACATTACCACCGGTGCCTCTAGCAGGTGTCATTGATTGTTACCATGACAACATGGATCTTAGTTCAGAGTTAGCCTTGCGGTCAGATGGATAACTTTTTAGGGTTTAAATAAGTCGGTCTATAATTTAGTGAAACTGTCTAACTCGCATTGGACTAACCTAAGAGCAACATTTAGACTGGCCCAACACTACAGACCAGTCTGGCCTCTGGTCCTTAGCTTACTACCTCTAGCACTGCTACTCTCTGACTGACTGACAGGGTTAGGGTTACACAGGGTCATGTGACTGACCACCTGACAGTGGTCTCAGATTTTAGACCCTGCTGTCTCCCATTTTTTCTTGGAGACTTTGAGACAGACGAAGGAGGTTTACGACATCTTCCATTCATGTCAATTAGACCACCGTAGACAGGGTCGCCCCAAGCCTGGCTTAACTGTTACCACAACACATGTCATCCGGTTCACAGTGTTATAACTACTGAGCAGTGATGTAGTGTCTCTTATACGAAGCCATTAATAAACGAATTATCTGTTGAACCATGGAAATCAACCTTCAGGGTAAAACTCTTTTCAAACTGTCACTGCCTCCTCTTTGTCTACGAGACAAGATGTGGAAATGATAAAAAAAATTAGGTCTTTCTGTCGTTTTTCTCTTACGTTCAGAGGCTTTTCTGAAACTGTGGATGATGCTCTAAAAACTGAGATGTTTTAGGACCTAGACCTTTCATCATCCTTCAAGACAACTGTGTCTGTGAGGAGCGTTTATAGACCTGTTTACACTGTTTCTGAGACTCTAATGATCTTAGTTCTGTCTCTGTGGCTGTTGTTGTGGTAATTTAACCACCTTGTTAAATAACACAGCTACTATCAGGGTAAAGAAGCTGCAGTTACCACTAACAACTCAGAAATGTGACACATAACAGAAAATAGCTGAGTGATGGGTCAATGAGCTCATGCATTGTTTACTCATGAGACCCTATTGTTCCACTAGTGTTGTTTCTGCACATTACCAGACTGTTTGTTTAGTGTTGCCTAAAATACACAGAGGCATCAACACATCTCTTTACTGTTACTTGGCAAAACCCCCACAATCCCACAGGATTTGGTACATTCCATATATGGCTGTGAATGGAAAAAGCGCCACCCACTTTCATGTACCACCCACTCAGTTCTCTATGTGGGCTTCAGGAACATGGGACTCAACTGTTGCCAAGACAACACGCAACATCACACACACAGACTTAAATCAGTGCTTGTTACCTGACCTATATGTAACAACTAATTAACTGACCTTTGGGCCCTGACAGCTGCTGTCTTCACCGAATGAAGAAAACACGTCAGTTAAAATGAATGTCAAAGTGATTTTAAAAGACGAGGACATAAAGGGAAGTCCAATGGTCCATAAACTGCACTGCGTTAGACACTGGCGGCAACTTCTGGTTGCCAGGTGCTTATGAAGGCAGGTAACTTGACAGAGACTAAAGAGCTCAGAAAACAGTCGCAGTGTTGAACTGACCACGCTCTCCATGACAATGGAGGAGCACACACACGTGTTCTTGCCCTTGAGGGAGTTGTCAATGCTCTCCTGCCATGTAGAGGGCGCTGTGGATGAATCTACAGGAAGAACACAGGAAGAGCAAAGGCTACAGTGACTCTGTATCAAAAAGTGATGAGGCGGTCCAATCAGGCTGGGGCTAGCTTGTTAGCATGCTAAGTACAAGAAAAGGCTTGATAGAGTTAACATTGGTGTTTGTTTCCACGTGTGGAGACAGTTTCTTTTGGATTGGTAAGATTCTAATGCTAACATTAGCTATGTAACATTAGCAAAGCTTTAAATTGTCTTATGCAGATTGAGGGTAATAAATGATATTCTGTTACTTCCTGTTTTCTGGGTGAGTTGACTCTCTGTGGAGATCATTACCAAAATGTGTGACCTCTGGTCAGCTCCAGACACAGTCAAAGAGAGAGACAGGGAAATAGATAGGACATGCAGGTCTCAATAAATGCTCTGTGGTTCCTTATGGTATATGGTATGTATTAGCCCCAGAGGTCAGAGGTCATCTTCAGAAGTTGCATTGTAAATGATGAATTTGGTCTGGTGAATTTAAAGTGAATCTGAGATTATTCATATATTTCCTGGAGACACACTGATGTCACATTTCTGAATTTCCATTGAACACAGAACTCGTTGCATATCTACAGTTACTTAAAGATAAAGCTGTCCACTGCAACATAAAAATTATTTCTGAAGAATCTGGGCTTTCCTCTGTCTCATGTTCCAACTCATCAAAATAAAATGGCTCATTTCAGTTTGGGTTAGACACCCATGACCTCCTTCAGAAAACTGTTCAGTGATCCACACGTCCTCAGCTGTTCCTGTGTTGGCTCTGTTATCATTGACCTCTGCAGTCCACAACATCAGTTCCATTTTTACTCAATGGTTCTTCCGTCATTTATGCAATTTGTGAATTCTGTGAAACATTCACGTATTTCCTCCTGCAGAGGGAGTTTGATGGACATATTTCACCAACTGTACATTTAGCTCCATGTTTAAATCATATACTATGAAATAGTTTTTATGACACACTGAGCACACAGATCAATTAACTCAGTTTGGCTTCAACCAGTGACCCCAATGTTTTGTAAATGATCAGACAGGATGTCATCACAGCTCTGCCTGGAAACTGTCCATTATCAGGCTGACAGCTAGATGTCTGCAGGCTAAATACAACGTAACATCCAACAGGCTCTTTGGTTCTTTTGATTTCTGTCTCCATGACATTTTGCTGTCAGATCTAGACCATAGTAGGACACAAAGCTGCAGGTTCTTCCATTTCCAGTAACAGTGTTTATGTGTTTGTTTCTCTCATGCGCTTCAATTTATTATTGACCATTTACATCCCTCTGTGCGTAAATGTAATATATGTACAT